TGACGAACCTTTTAATCTTCATCTGTACCATTTGCTGTTCTGCTATTTGAAATAAACGGTAAAACTCGTTTATTTCGTCGTAGCTTAACATGATATGGTACTTATCAATCGTATTATTCAAAACCTTGTTCACACGATATTTTCTTCGGTAGACTGATTTTTTTGCTTTGCTATAACTTAAATGACAATAGTCACAAAATCATGATTAATGACTTGACCGCATTGAAATATATAAATATAGATAATTTAAGATTTAGTTGATGAGTTTCATTTTCAAAATCACAAAGTGGCTAAAACAGATGATAAATGAAAGCCTTACGAGTTGACCTTCTTTCATAATATTTCCATGAGCTGCAATATTTCATTGAATTAGAAATAAAAACTGCACTGAATTAAACTGAAAGGTGCGTTTGAAGCTTGAGGACATGGACAATGAATTAAATGAGTCATAACTGACACATGAAGACAGGTTAATTAGCCAGTAGGGCGACACACTACAACGGTATTTTTCTGTCAAAAGCGATCAAATACAGTCTATCATTGATTTTTGTCTGGTGGAATTTTTGTTTGCGTGGTGTCATTAGTGAGGAGGGTTCTTCTACAAGGGGGCAAGTTTTTACATATTATCAGGACGGGGGAAACAGGACATAAAGGTGGAGCTATACAAAATTGACTGCAAATTAACCGCCAGTGACAGGCGGGGGGGGGGGCTCAGATTTCTTCACGGGAAAGAAAAACTATTAAAAAGATTCCTAGTTGGTTAGTAGCTTAGTATCAGCGCCTAACTAGTATCTGAGAGGCACAGATTTGAATCTTGTGGAAGTCTAATTTTTTCAAGCTTCTTTGTGCAATTACTATGATTGCAGCTAGCTTGCGGCAATCATAGCTTTATTTAATTTTAGCTAGTGTAAGGTCATAACGTTTAAGGAGCATGTTTTGAGCGTGGCATACCAATTTGCGTTCGGACGATTTTGCCTTATTCTTTGTTACCGAGGAACATTCGACTCTCTTTAATCAGCTTCAAAAATTCACTAACCTGCTTTGAAAGAGGCATGTTGAGGATAGACTGAATGATTTTCAAAACTGGATTTTGCGTTGAAATAGTCTGCTGTAGTTCATTCCGTCGCCAACCAGGCTGAACTGACTGGAGTGTTAGGGAGGATTGATATTAAAGGAATTTTACAGAATTCACATTTATCTAGTTTTTTGCCCCATCCTAATTCCTCTCAGCATGAGTCTATTGCTTTTAAAAGCTACATTTTGATTTTCAATTGAAGCAACGCTGCTGAGACTGTTAAATGCTGCGCATTTCATCCTTTTTTCGTAGTATTTAAAAGTGTGCAATCTTAATCAATATGACTACCATCAAAGGCCGTCCATGTTTGCGCTATTCAATTGAAAAGGAAAAACGAGAAATGTCGACTGACGCGTAAAGCGGCTCAGCATGCGAGGGTGTGCATCTTTCAATCATCCTTTAGCGAAAAAAGAAATTTAAGTAGACATTGAAGCTTTACTTATGCAAACATCACTTTTACTTATGTAAACGTCCTCTAGGACTGTATAATGACTCATCGCATCGAAGGCTCCACAGCGTTTTGAATGCATGCTGATCTTCCCCATTCATGGGCAACAAGTTTCATCTCTCTACAATAGTACCAGCAGTAAGGATTTAATAGAGAGGACCCAAGAGGGCTGCTTAGTGGGGTTTCGTAACGACTAGCTTTTGGGCTTTGAGCTGTCAAATAAAAAAAAAAAAAACGCATAAAATATGCGCATATCCGTGAAATTGGTGAATCACTTAGTGTCTCGTGTCATTGCACGCGTTCTTGTACCTTATTCCCTGTTTTCCCGTGAAGGGCCAGAAGTATTCCCTTTCGATGGAAAGCAGTTTTTATTTTTGATTGTGAACTTTGCCCTCTGTATGCGATGCTTTAATCAGTTTTTACAAAAGCAGGCGATTTAAGTCAACGTAATACGAGTATTCTAGCTTGAAATGACCGATCGTTTTAACAATTGTTGAATACATTTGAAATTCTTTAGCGCCTTAGTTATATTACTTACTTATATTAAATCGGATCACAGATGAATAAGGAGAGAATATCAATCAGTTTTTTCAACCTATCTTTTCAAGTGGCGCGAAATTGTTCCCTTTCCCCCTTTTTCTTTTTTTAGCAAAGGCTGTGTACCTTTGAAAATTTGTGTAATAGAATAACAGAACTGATAAATATTTCGTCAAAACAGTTTTGAAAAGCCCAATGCCATTATTTTTTTCCACACTAATTTTAGTATTCTAGTCAACCTTCTCGGTTGATCTAAGCAGAAACATTATTCATTGCATATTAAATCGGATTACAGAAAAATCGATCAGGTTTTTTCAACTATTTCTTCAAATGACATGAAATCGTTGACTGTCTCTTTAATATAGAAATGATTCAAACGCACTTGTTCAGATCAAATCACATTTAAGGAGTTATCTTTTAACTTTGGCATTGAAGTTAGTTTAGCAAGTAGGAGACAATGTAAAGCTAGTTCAACAAGGATGAAGACTGGTGAAAAGCCCTCTTTACATCTAAAACATTCAGTCTACTTGGTCAGTGTTGTGGAAGTCGGCTGAACGGCCCTGATGAAGGAGGGGGATTGTTTCGCCCGATCCCGAAAGAAAGCAAGGAATATTGCTACCGATACTATATGTCCACTCCATTAGGTGCTCTCATGCGGTGAAAAAGATAAAGGCAACGCACGTACTTGTGGCACTGCTTTCCCTTCATACCACAAATTCGTGCCCCATATTAGCGGGGTGCCGGCCAGAAATCACTTCGATATGTAATCATGTAACATATATTTCGCTAACCAGTTGCAGTGTACATTTTGAATTCGCATATAACCCATAATCCAGGGTATTTCAATGATGCAAAGGAAAAGTGGTATTTGAGTTACATTCTGAACAGTCTTAACTCTTTGTAGCGATCTTGTTTACATTTGATTTCAGTTGCTAACCGCTGCTTTTTCTGCTTAAACGAACTAAATGTCAAAAAGGGAAGTAGAAGCTAGCGTCTATTTGGCTTCCTCAGTATTTTCTCTTTTGTATTTTGGGTATTCACGGGTATGTAACTCTTTTCATTCGCTTTAAATTTGCATCATGGTGGTAAGAACTGACTGCGGAAAGTATGGGAGTTATGATGTATTCTGAACTTTACCACCACGAATCGAAAACAGAGATGTAAATCAGTTTCTGCTATTAGGGATTTCAGTTAATGTAAATCACTCTGTAGGTTCTGAGTTGTTTATTTTTGTGCTAAAGTCACAGTTTCTCAAAATTCATGTCTCGATTTTATAATAAGGATGAACAATTGACTCGATTAATGCCCATTAACTAGGGAGAAGGACAATCACACAGTTGATCATCAATGCTTTTTTTTAGTTTATTTTTTTTATTTTTCAACTGACCTGATTCGTATTACAATAACGTCAGAGGTAATGAGGGAATCAAAATAGTTCCATCCCAGTTTCAAAGGGTTTACATGAGCCACAGCAGTTTCTTCCAGAAGGACCCTTTTATCTTCAATGTCGGTCCTCGTAATGCGATGTTCTACGACGTGGTTCTGAGGCAGCGTGACCGTCTCCTTTGTTCTGCGCAAAAGGAAAAAAATACTTATCAAAATACAAGATACGTGTTTTACGTAACCTATCAGCGTTGGGTTTTTTTACTTATTTTATGAACATCAATGCTTTTGAACTTTGCTTTTGGTACAGTGAAGTTCAGCAATTACTTGTATTAATAATGATTATTTTTCCCTGAACATCTTTTACTAAGAAATACAGGGAAGGGAACGTTCTAAGCTTTAAAGGAGAACTGAAGCCAAAAATTGAGTTAATTTCTTTCGATAGCCAAAGTGACGAAATTCTCGATTTCAAGCGTTATTTGTGCTAAATGTGTCTTACCTTGGAGAAATATTTCTTTAAAGTTTGTATTTTCGCGCTGTTTCGGCTTTCAAACCGTGGGCACCAATTTTTAATCAGCGGTCTTCCAAATGAGCCTGTGACGTATGTTATGGGGATCACTTTAGAACGTGTTATCGTTCAGCTAAGTTTTAATACAAATTGCGTCTTCGTCGACCCTTCGTTATGAGCGGAATAGAACCATTTCAGTTCGAACCAGTATATCAGCCTGGAGAAGAACCACCTCAGGAAGAGAGTGTAGGACAGGAGGTAGAAGCCCACGAAGAAGACAATACTTCGAGGATGGGAAACACCGAATGGTGTTTGTGCGGCGCTTGTGCGCTTATGCCGGTGGCAAATGGATGTTACTGCTGCCAAGAACTAGAGGAGCTTAATCAAAAGTTCGACAATTCAGGTTTGTACTTATTATGTGATTATTCTCACGAGTATTTTGTTTGAAGCGACCGCTTCTTTGCTAAGAGTGACAAAAGGTGGACAATTGCAAACTCGATCTTAGTTGTAATTGCAATTACAAGGTCTGATGGATGAAAATTATTGAAACAGTGAGGGAAATAAAATGTTAAGACTTTTTTCTTCTTGATAGGTGTTAGATGTATGACAGAACATCCGAAATTCGGTATTGTATGCCTGGACACGGATGTTTTGAGCACGGCATTGGTTGCAATCCACAATGCTCGGCTCAATCCAATTCCCGACCCTATCGTCAACAGGTAAACTGTCTTTTTCTTTCATATTATGTACGCGTAATTAAGTCAATCACTTTTGTGACTTTATATCCTCTTGTTCTCTAGAACTTGGCGTTTGGCAGCCTACAGACAATTTACTTGGTGGGCACATGGGGTATTAGGAAAAAACCGGCGGAGAATCGTGCCAGCATGCGTCGTCACGGCCATACGTAAAACATTTCCAGAAGAGAGTGGTAATTACGTGGGTTTCGAGAAGCAGATCTGGAACTTTGAACTTTATCCGTAATGTCCTTTAATAATGATTAGTAACATATCCTTTGCGTGTATAACACCAGAGGCTCTTCTTTCCTTATGTTACGGTTTCTTTCTAAAATTTGCGTGAAATATACAATTACTTATCGAGGATATGAATTACTAACACATTTCTGCATAGTGATTCAGTCAAAAGCCATGCAGAGCCAAACGAATGTCATCCCTACTGCAGTTATTAAATTATCCACATTGCCAGGGATAGCTGCGTGGCCTGAATGAAATAAACCTCAAACCTAACTTTGATTGCTTTTTGCTACGATGATTGCTTTTATTTTCATTTGATTGTGTTATTGACAAAGTTGTTGTATTTAATTATTCGAAAATCTCGAAGTATGATTAGCAATGACATCTGCTTTAGGAGGCCGGGGTTTGCTGGCAATGTTTTCAGGAATGTGTGGTGCTGTGACTGTTGCACTCCTCTCTTGTGGTTTTAAGCATTTTCTCTCTACAATGGCATTAAGCATTGGCTTGAGATGATAATTGGTTGTCTTCTCAAATATGGGCTTCGCCACCCATTCTTTTGTATTTTTCGGAAACACTACCTTGTATTGCAGCTCCCCTTGGTTGGCACCCCTGGATACAGTGGCTTGTTGTCTACCAGTGTTGGCATTATGGTCTAGGGCTGCCAACTGAGTTCGAGCAACCATGCCATTATAAGAGAAGTGCTGCCGTTTGGGTGCATATTTGGTCTGCACACTATGGTACACCTCTAAATTGCCAGTATGACAACTTAGTGTTAGTTGCTGAATGTCCTTCAACAGATTTTTATCGAATACAACCTCCTTCAATGCATTATGAGCAGAGGAGCCAGGCCTAAGCCACCTTTTAGTTCTTGCGATAGCTGGAGGGATTGGTTGGTGGGCACATTCCTCATACAGGTCAGCTGAATCCCAGGAGTGGATATTGGCAGTGTGATAGACAATGGATATCCACTTCTCTCTCAACATCTCCTTGTCTCCCCCACATGTTTTGGCACACCACCAAAGGTGGTTTGAGATGGATCTGATCCAGAGAGAGAGATCAGCACATTCTCTCTTCTTTGCTTTTTCAGTTAACTTTTTAGTTATACTCTTGGAAAGGTGCCACACATCAAATTGATGATCAACTTCAGGGAAATTTCTTTTCATGTCAGCCCTAATGCCCACATGACGGTCAGTTGCAACAACCATAATTTTCCCCCCTTTTTCATAGATGTTTTCCATACAGCGTTTAAAACCCTCTCTTTCCATGGCATTGCTATTATTTACTTCACTGACCTGAACAACCTTGAAGTCAACAATCTTATCAGTTTTCTGATCAATCATGGTATATGTCCCATATTTTGCATTATGGCCAGGACTGTCACAACGCCCATCCCCTGAAAGCCACAGATCTCGCCCCCCTACCTCAGAAAAAGTGGAATTTTGTTCTTTAAGCCAGAACTCATTGATTACGGGTAATAAGTACTTGTTTTGAATATTATAAAATGTTTTCTCACTGAAAATTTTCAAATTTAAGATATCTGCCAAAGATGCTACTTTTGTAAAGGTAGAGCCACTGAGCAAAATAGATGATGACAGCAACAAATTTCCAGCTGCCATCCCCTCAAGCATTGGCTGGCTTTGCCAGGAGTACTTATGATTATTCATACATTCTAGGGTGACAAATAGTTGGCTTCCTTGTGTGGATTGGTTCCTCTTAATCACAACTGCACCACACTCAGGACAGTACTTAAACAATTTAAATAGCTCTTGTTTAAATACAATGTATTTGGTATCATCCTGTGGCTTTTCGCATTTTGTTTCCCCTTGGTGTTCGTTGTCTGATCCTGACAAGTTCGAATCATCTGAATCTTCCTGTTTTGTGGGAAGGTAGATGCCATCTTTTCTTGGAGAGACTTCTGGGGAAGCAGCAGCTTCAGTTGCTTCTCCCTTGTTATCTTCAATTTCAGGAAGGAATACCTCTTCAGTCTGGGTGCTGCTTTCTGAAACATCAACCTCGACTTGGGTGTCAGTAGATTTCATCATTAAATGGAGACCACGAAGATTGACTTGGATCCCAAAATCCACACCCTTGTTTGGCAAATTCACCTGCACTGCTTGTGACTCAACCAACGTGCTTTTAGGCCCTAAATCATGTGGGAATGGATATGATGGGCTGTCTGAGGTTGATGTACTTGCTCCACAATTCACTACATCAACAGGTGCAGGCTGTTCTAAAGCTGAAGCTGCATGTTCTTCGATTCCACAACTAGGTTGTGCAGTGATAGAGGCTATATACTATAACAGAAAAAATATTAACTCTGTTATGGTATGGGTTAGTGACCCTTTGAGAGAATGAAAAATGTGGGTATGAGGGATAAACTATGCTACTATATGGTTACACAATGATTCAATGGGATTTTCTTGGAAAATATAACACCTGACCCTGCCCTCCTTTGGTTGAAAGCCTGCACTGGTTTTAACTTAGAATTTCCAGTTGTATTAAGTTTTTATTCACATAGAAGTAAAGAAGGTTAAAAGAATTCATTATTTAAAGAATAATATCCACAACTTACAAATAGTCTATTTGTACTAATTTTGTTCACCTGCTAGTTAACAAGGGACAGGTATAATGTTCCTAGAATTAAAGAATAATCACTTTATTCTGAAACAATTTAATTTTGTTTACCTACTGGTCAAAAATTTTCAGGAGAGATGAAGTACAAAGATGACTCAGAAAAAAAAACATGAAACTAGAAGGAATTCCATGGCAGGATATTGTTTTGCTTAAGGAGAAGAAATACTTTTCTGTGAAAATTTAATGTTTCTCAATGGAACCTATTCGGGTGATATCCCTTAAGATATAAATTGTTATTGCCCTCAAACTGCATTCACCTTTCAATTTTTTTTTTGTATCAATCATGCATAAATGATGAGCAGCTTCAAGAGTTTGCAACAACCCAAGCTTTGCAACAACCCAACCCAGTTACAAGAGAGTAATTCGCGATTCACTTACTTCTTTTCTGACTTTCTCTTCTGAACGTTTCTCCGATGAAAGTCGAGGTCTTTTTGATGGTCTCCGATGCGAAAAAACCGTGGGTATTGCACCTGGTTTTAGCGTAGATCTGGGTTTCAAACCAAGAATTTCTGCTTTCAAGTCTCGTTCGTAGCAGTCAGGTGTAAAATGTTCTGAGCACAGCCTGGAGTTTTTCGAAACGACCAGATCCGCTCGTGAGATCTTTGCCAGCCACTGTGATCGTAGAGCTTCATCCCTCGGAAAGCAATGGTAGGATATACCAGTTGTGTACCTCGAGTCGTTGTTACAATCGAACGCCGCGCAGTATACAATTTTTTAGTTCGAAAGTAATCGAAGTAAATATAGCAACAAGGGCTAGTCAACCGCCAAGAACAGATAGAAGAATAAACTCAAACAACTCAGGCTTCTGTATTTGTGTAAGCCAAGTATTTAACCCATTATAGAGAACTTATAAACCAAAGTTTAAAACGAATTTCAAAATTTTATTTCCTTTTGGACTTCTTGCGACATTGTTAACAGCGTGCGTTATCGTACATGCCATTGCAAAATCCAGACTACAAACGCGTTGCAAACTAATGTTAAAAAAGGTAAATAACAAAATATGGGAAACAGAATGGAAGATGAAATATCTTAAATTACCAGTATGTAAGAAAAATTAAAGTGGAGACCCTATTCCGAAAACATCGAGGTCAATCCAAGTATAAAAGATGCGCCGCACATGATCTGGACACGTAACTACGTTTCAGAGACACAGGGTTACGAAAGCCAAAATATTTTTCTCTTACACAATCCCTGGACAGAAGACCAATTTTCTTATATGAGAGGCGCTTGAATCATTTTTTGCTTCACCTTGCACAATCTTTACTCCTGGAAAACCACAAATTCTTTCCCGCGAGCAAGCCGCAGTCCTGAATTCAACTTGCCTGTTTCTTGCTGTGTTTACCTTCATCCCCATAACCTACGTCACACGCTACAAAAAGAACCGCTGACATTCGTGTTCTGAGCCGACGTACCACAGTCAAATGTCGAGCCAATTATCACTAAAAACCCTTCGTTTTCTGGATGAAAATTGTCGTTCGAGGGAAAAAAAAATGACGGAAATTTGTTCCATCATACATAAATGTACGATACACGGTGAAAAAAATTACATGAATTTGGACTTCAGTTCTCCTTTAATAAACACAGAAGATGAGATCCAAATTCTCAAAAGGAATGATACTCAACCGTTGGAGCTGTTACAGAGACAGAACAATTACTTGTAAGAAGTGTGAAACTGGCAACTGTGATAACTACCTCCTTTGAGTTGTAGGAACATAGTCACATCACCTCTCAAAATGTTGTTGGAGACGGTCATTTTCTCAAAGGAAGGGTGCCAGCCAATTGTCCTCTTTTCCATTATGGGTCAGTTAGCGGGAAAGTTAACGCCATGAAACATGGATATGTGCTTAAACCAATTTCCCTCAAGACTGTATAATTAAGAAAATTTGAGATATCAATTAAAACACGTAAAATTACTCTTGTAACTGTGTCACATACCTAGAGTGCAACGTACTCTGTAGAATAATGTTACGACGTTTTTCTAACTTAATCCATTTTCTCACAGATGCCTATTTCAAAATTTAGCAGTCTGCATATTCTCTGGTAATTATGCTTTTTGTGTATGTTTGTTCCCCTGTAGCTAGACAAGAAGCGTTCTCGGGAGAGTCACAACTTAGTTACACTTTCAAAAAGGGCGCTCCCTTCTCCGTATAAAAAATGACCTTGAAGATTAATTTTAAAGAGTATTGTGTCAATCCGATACTCTTCATCACTTTTATATCAAATGTTTCCACAGGCTGTAACAACTCCTCCATCCTCAAATGTAAATGTCCTTTCAAATGACATTCCAGCAGGAAATGCTTCTTTGAAATAGTCAGGCATGCCGGCGGGATACTTAGTAAAGCATTTGTTTCAATATTTGAAGACTGACGACAGTGTGTCAAAGGAAAATGGAAGGGGTCCTCCCTTGGTTACCCAAAACGTGGACTTCTGTACTCCTCTAAAATAAGATGAGAAGAGTGTTGGAAACTATTTTCAGAAACAGCTCATGTATGACCTAAAAAAGTATCGCAAATAAATTTAGCTGTGACTGAGCTTTTATACGATAATTTGAGGTAGCTTTAGATGTAGATGAAGAATCGTTCGATGTCATAGGCTGTTGGTAATTTGTATCGCAAATGAATTAAGCTGTGACTAAGCTCTGCAGTAGCCTTTACACCTCGCCTGATCACGGAAGCAGATGAAAAGTTGCTGTCATAGGCTAGGTAATTTGAAAACTCGAATAAAAACAAGACAGTTTTTCCTGAAAATCTTCATATGAATCTTTGATCTTGTTCAATTTGCTTTTCAAAAGAGTCTTTATTCATTTTTGATAATTTCCCAAAATCATTGATACTTTGATATCAGGTCCTTATGTGACGACTGCAGTATGATCTTATCAACTCTATGTTTAATAATAAATCGTAATACATGATAATGAAATAATTCATCGTGGTCTGTCTTTTAAGAGACACTTACTCGTAAGGCTTTCCTTCTCCTTCACCTTCGATCTCAAAGTAATGTCCATTGACACTACCCTTCATTTCAAATTTCAAATTCATGTCTCTTAGAATGACCTGAATAAGTAAAAAGGAAATGAACAATTATTTTCTACTGACATTGATAATTCAAAGACCCAAGCTGGTTTTAATTAATTGCCAGCGCATGCGCATTACAATAGAAATTATTGATTTCCACTCTTAAGGTACAGCTTACGCCATATCAAATTAATACAGTGCGCCTGATTAATGGGAAATGGGCATGCCGGCGCACTAATTTACTTCTTGTTTCTCCAAATACATTTTCTGTGCTTTTTTTTTTGTCATTTTCAAAATATTACTGTAAACTTGCGGATGCTCCGGGTACATTATATTTTACCAAATTGTATTCAGTGTTTTTAAATGAAACATTCATCCAACTATTATTAATAAAGTCTTGATTTTGACAACATTTATCTTCTGTTTTAGCCCCTTTATCATTACGAAAATGAAACTCATCAAATAAATCTAATATAATCATCGATATTTATTCAAACTTAAAATATTTTTAAGAATCTTCTGTTTGCGCTTAAACAATTATTGTTACGCGTGGCAAAACACTGACAACAATAGCCACCCACACATTATTCAAACAAAGCGTGGGAAACATAGAAAGATTTTTGGCCGGTTATTTACACGAGGTCAAACCCAAACCGCGGTCTCCCGCAAGCAGTGGGCATCTGGGATTCTCTATAAGAGAGTTGTTTTCATTAAATATATATCCTTTAACTGCTAGCTTTCGGCCCTCTTGGCACTGTTCGCAAAAAAAATTTCGGATGAAAGACTAAGCTAAATTTCAAGATAGTTTACAACGCAGTTTTGTTAACAACGGTTAAACTTTGTTTAAATAACCGTCCCATTGTTTTTAAGAGTTTGTTTGGTTAACGCATTTCAGTGTATCATTAAAACACACAATGATGAATGGGAAATGGATGTCAATAAGCATTATCAAATGTATTTCTGAATGAAGTTGCGTTGCGCGTGACACAAGAATTTTGTTCACAATTCACAGTTTATTAAAATATATATTCTGTTTCTCAGTTTTAAAATTGATATAATCTTTGAGAAAAGGTGATTGATCAAACTCCAAAACACGATGTACTTTTCCAAGTTTCACACCGAGACTAAGATATAAATTAAGATTTTCGATGTATAATACATAGTTCTTTTTAGTATGTAAAGTTGGGAACGAATTTTGCAACATTATTGTTAGAAGGTTAAATTCAGAATGCATGTTTTTTGCAATAAGGCGATAAATCATCACATGCAACATATTTGTCTGGCGCAAGTTGATACATTCATAGTGAATCATGTAAATTGTCAGGATAAATGTGATCACATTCAATAATAGCACCCTCATCAATATAATTTTCAATTTTAAATTTTGATGGATCGACAAAACTTTAATTACCCACTGGCAATGGTTGAATCATGGCCCAGCCATAAAGATTATTTACATCAAGATAAATAATACAAGAAGAATCTTCATTTTCATTAAAATTAGCGAAATATTTATTATTTGCTTTTGCAAATCGATGTGTACTATTGCATATGTCACCCCGCATCATTTTTTGACTGGTTTTTTCTTTCTCAATATTACCAATCAACTCGAGTTTAACATTCGTCTTTTAAGCATTGCATTGAAGGCAAAATTAGGTACGGAAAGATAATGTGGTATCTCTACCATAGTATTATAGGCACGTACTCCTGAAATTCTTAGAAACATCTGTAAGTGAGCAAAATAATCACCAATAATTCTACATTCATATTTTTTGTAAACATGAAATGCGAATATAAATTCTTCATCGGTAATACTATCTTCACTTAATGTACTATAAAATTTTCCTTTAGGCGGGAATCTTCAAAGCTATCCATATGGGTAAATGCACTCGTGTGTTAAAAGTGCATCTGGAGTGTATTTATATTGTGGCAGTTTAAGATTTTTGAGTAAATTTTCAGGAGAACTTGTATATTCTTTTATTTTGTTCTGCAGCAAACAATATATCTTGGTAAAGGTGTAAGTTTTTTCTTTGAATGTTTTGTTCTTCTCAAAGTTACGGGGTTTTCGGCAAAATTTTGTTCTCGGTAAAGGTACTAGTTTTAAGTTTGACATAATTTCTTCTCTTGTAAGCACATTTTTCTTTGTTCTTGGAAGAGGAACTGGTTTTTTTTGTTAAACTCACTTTACATGTTTTAAGAATTTTGTTTTCTTTGATTTATTTTTATTAACAAGTGCATTATGGTCAGTTGCGTTCGTTACTATATATTATTTTTTAAATATTTACTAGGCCAGCTCATTTCGGTGTATCATTAAAACACTCAGTGATGAATGGGAGATGGGCATGTATAAGCATTATGTAATGTATTTCTGAATAAATTTGGGTTGCGCGTGACATCAAAATCTTTTATAAAAAACGTTT